CGTTCGGGACATCATCAGCATCCAGCATTCCATATCAGGCTTCATTCTGAACAATGCAACGTGAAAACCTTAGCTTGTTAATTAATGTTAACTTGTGGACAGCCACCGTCCACAGTTGCATTGTTTCTTTGTATGTGTGGACATCCACAGTCCACAGCATTCTTGAGGAAGCACCGGTTCATATAATCGTTGTAAGTATGATTTAGAATCCTGGAGTTATATGCTATTTCCTTCGCGTACATATATACTATCTTTTCACCTTGCCAATGTTTCTCATATATATATACTGCTTGTGTGATCATGCAGATAAGGTCCAATACACCAAAGAATCTTCTCAAGATTTTGACCGTGGATTCCAAGCACTGTGTGTCGGTGAATTTTGGAGAGGTGAAGACGGATTCTGCAGGAGAGACCACTTGCTTGGCAGAGAAATGTGCAGGTGATCGACTTTTTTTCTTTGGAAATGTCACAACAGAGATGGGTGGTCCTCAGTCGCTGAAGGCTGGTCGTTTGCCGTTTGCTCATGCTATTCGGAAAAGAACATTGCGCATTTGTCATAATATATATGTATATAATACTTATTTTCATATATACATCGATTTTTAATATATCTTGTATATTTTTCAAAATCAGAATCAATTAAGTTTTCTCTTGGTGTGCTGTTGGTTGTCAGGTGGCCTCTGTCAAATTCAACGAGAAGCTTGAGGTTAATTTCTACATGAATGGCGCTGAGCACAACAAGAGTACCTCTTTGTCCCCTTGCCCTGCATGGATGTTGAAGAATGGATTCGCCGTGGAAAAGGCATTGTTTCGAATTGAGAAAGAGATCAAGACAACCACCTTTCGGATTTCGTGCATGTCTTAGATTCAGTACTGAGTTTCATTGCTTGTTACCTTTGCAAAATCGTTTTCTTTTTTTAAGCTGCAGTCAATCTATCAAACGCTCATTTGGTTTTATTTGGAAGGCAAGGGAAGTCTCTGGAAGTTGAAGTGGCCCTTTGGTATGCTGAGCTTCGATCCGAGGCATGGTTGTTTGTGGCATGTTTCTTTGCATATATTTGCATTGCGGTAAAGTTCAATTTGATCGAAACCATGTATCGTGATTGCTTATTTTGAACATACCGCATACCGCCGGATATGGTATTTGTTTGGTAGGCAGTGGAGATTTTGATGAAGAAGGCCAAAAAGAACCGTGACCTATTCACGGATGTACTTGCAACACGATCTTGGTTTGAAAAGGAGGAACCGGCGAAAAAGAAACCGAAAAAGGATGCAGCTTCTTTGCTGATGTTGGGCGGCCGGTTGTGGGCTGCCCGGGGTTCTAGCGAAACAAAGACCGAGGCTGAAAGTTCGGATCTCCTGCACTTGACTTGCAATGCTATTCCAAAGCATTGCAGTCACTTATTAAAGTGATTTAAAAGTTTGGACCTCCAGTTGACTTGCAATGCCATTCCAAAGCGCGCTGCAACCACTTTTTGAAGTGATTTTGACGGCAGTGCGGCGCAGTGCGGCGATGGGACAATGGGTGAAAAAAAAAAACGTGCCTCTACATATGTTTCGGGCATTCCCCGAAAAGGCTTGTAATTGCATCTTCCAACTTTTTGTGAGTTGATCTGTCAGGATTTGCTTGCATTTATGATCTTTCGGACATTCCCTGAAAAAGCTTGTGATTGCCTTATTGATGCAAATTTCTGAGTTGATGCGTCATAATTTGCTTGCATCTACGACCTTTCGGGCACTCCCCGAAAAAGCTTGTGATTGCATTTCTCCAAGCATTTGTTTTCATTTTTGGGAGGCAAGATGGCGAGATACATCCCCGGCTAGAGCATGCAAGAGTTGTTCTGCCGAAAAAGTTGCGGTGCACCTGATCGAGTGAGTGAGAGGTAAAAGTTAGTAAAATTTCAAGACTTGTACATGATTGGTGAATATCATAATTGTGTAATTCTGAAAATCTGGCATTTCCATGCGTCCTTGGCATGTGGACTGTGTGTTTCGCGTAGACCGTCCACACCCAGCTATACCTGTCCACTTTGGTGAACGGACCTTACTACTTTTACACACAGACGCTTTGACACACAAACACTTTTACACACAGAGACTTTTACACACAGACGCTTTTACACACAGACGCTTTTACACACAGACGCTTTTACACACAGATGTTTTTAGACACAGACGCTTTTACACACAGACGCTTTTACACACAAACGCTTTTACAGACAGATGCTTTTACACACAGACGCTTTTACACACAGACGCTTTTACACACAGACGCTTTTACACAGAGACGCTTTTACACACAGACGCTTTTACACACAGACGCTTTTACACACAGAGGCTTTTACACACAGAAGCTTTTACACACAGACGCTTTTACACACACACACACGCTTTTGCACACAAACGCTTTTACACACAACGCTTTTACACACAGACGCTTTTACACACAGACGCTTTTACACACAGACAAGTCCGGCACAGGAAAAATCGCAATTTTACCTCAGTTTCTACCGATCGACCCTCATTTCGTGCGAAAGGGTTGCTCCGGCACAAGTAAAATCGCAATTTTTACCTCAGTTTTTGACGATCATTTCAAAGTGCAAAAGGGTTGCGATTGCTCAAGTAAAATCGCAATTTTTCCTCAGTTTTTGACGATCGACCCTCATTTCGTGCGAAAGGGTTGCTTTAGGACGTAAAATCGCAATTTTTCTTCGAGTTTTTGCTCCAGGACAAGTAAAATCGCAATTTCCAGTTTTTGACGATCGACCCTCATTTCGTGCGAAAGGGTTGCTCCAGGACAAGTAAAATCGCAATTTTTCCTCAGTTTTTGACGATCGACCTTCATTTCGTGCGAAAGAGTTGCTCCGGGACAAGTAAAATCGCATTTTTCCTCAGTTTTTGACGATCGACCCTCATTTCGTGCGAAAGGGTTGACGTTTCGTGACTCGCCGCCGGCACCACCCTCGGCCTTAAGAGAGAAAGATAAAGAAGGCGAGAGAGAGAAAAGGGAGAGAGAAAGGAGAGAAGATGTGAAGATGAGCAGATGTGAGAGAAGATGTGAGAGAAGATGTGAGAGAAGATGTGAGAGAAGATGTGAAGATGAGCAGATGTGAGAGAAGATGTGAGCAGATGTGAGAGAAGATGTGAGAGAAGATGTGAAGATGAGCAGATGTGAAGAGAAGATGTGAGAGAAGATGTGAAGATGAGCAGATGTGAGAGAAGATGTGAAGATGAGCAGATGTGAAGATGAGCAGATGTGAGAGAAGATGTGAGAGAAGATGTGAAGCAGATGTGAAGATGAGCAGATGTGAGAGAAGATGTGAGAGAAGATGTGAAGATGAGCAGATGTGAGAGATGAGAGATGTGAGAGAAGATGAGAGATGAGAGAAGATGTGAGAGAAGATGTGAAGAGAGAAGATGTGAGAGAAGATGTGAGAGAAGATGTGAAGATGAAGATGTGAAGAGAAGCAGATGTGAGAGAACTGTGAGCAGCGATGTGAAGATGAAGATGTGAAGATGAGAGAGTGATGTTTTGACAGATGTGAGAGAAGATGTGAAGATGAGCAGATGTGAGAGCTGATTGAAGATGAGCAGATGTGAGAGAAGATGTGAGAGAAGATGTGAGAGAATAGAGAAGATGTGAGAGAAGATGTGAAGATGAGCAGATGTGAGAGAAGATGTGAGAGAGAAGAGTTTTACAGACCTCCACTATTGGAAGAACCCTGCGCTCAGACGCTCTCGGGAAAAAGAAAAAAACACTCAGCAGGGTGAATTGTGATAATTTTCTGGTATATGATGGAAAAAATTGGTGCTGGATCCATGGGGAAGGTCGAAGGGGGCCACGCATACTGTTTTATTTTCGCATTCCAGAAAATTAGCGCACTCCAGGGGTGGCATCGTACTCTATCGGTGGAATTATTTTGCACGGAAGAAAACAGGATCGTCGATGATTTGTGTTCCCAGATCCTGTTGTGCAGAGCTCTTTGCGGGGCCACAAAGATGTCAAGAAAGATGGGGATGGCGCCGTGCCAGAACATAAGCTTAAAGCTTATGAATTGGGTTTTGAGATCTTGAAAAGTGTAGATGACAAATTCCCATAAGAACATTATTAATCCATTTTTGGAAGGCTCAACATTTTTAATTATGACATTTCCAGAAATTGTTGAAAGTAAGGATCTTCTTTGGGGAAGAACATGTGCAGTCGACAACGTACGTGCCAGAAGAAAAGGAGCACTTGGCAAACTGTATGAAATACAAATTTCACCTGAAAGGGGTCTTCGCAATTCCCTGAAATTTCCCAGCTACTGTATTTTGGCATGGAATATGTTCGGCCCTGGAATATGGGCAAGAAATTGCTAGAGTAATGTATAGTTGAGCCGTTCTTTATAGCATCAATTCTGGGTCCAACTGGACGTGTAGTTGGACGTGTCTTGAACAACATCTGAAACGTCACAAAAGCTAGCATAACGCACGGGCAAATACAGGCTGCGGACCTACAATGCGGTGCCTCCCAGTTATAAGTTGGCTTATAAACCATAATCTACCATAAACCATAGTGAAATTGGAGTTACTGGCACCAACTTAGCGTTCACGAACTGGGGCACCTTGCATGATATATCTACTGGAAACCCTAGTTCCGTTAGTTCAAAACTGAGTTAGCTAACTTGGGCCGCCAAGAGGAGCAGGGCCTGAAGAGGGTAAGATTGACCGACCATGAGATGGGATCATCATAAAAAGGGATCGCAATACCCCACACCCCAATGGTTCAGCCAAAGCCATGTCCATTCAGTGGTAAAATCTGTTTAAAAATCGTTGCCAGTTTAAAACTCTTTTAGATGCAGCAAATCACTTGTGAATGCCCAAGAAAAAATAGTGTTCTCAATCCCCCGATCCAAATTCTCGAGATAAATGTCTAGAACCCCTTTATAAATGTCGACGTAAATCACCAATGACTCGCGAAATTCCCCATGAATTGCTTGGTCGAGCCCAGCATCTTTCAGGTGGACCGAGCACATGTCTTGGGAAGCGGCGCCAATGGCGCAGCAGGGGGCTCCCAGAAGCCGATTTCACCGTAGGAAAATTGTATACTGTAGGAAAACCGTATATAGGAAAACCATAGGAAAATAAGGGGATTGAAGATATAAGACTATATTCTGATATCTAATGAGAGATATATATATATATATTATTATATATACCTGGATCCTCTTGATCGTGGAAATTTCCACACTGCACACCAAAGCCAAAATCGATCAATTTTGCCAAATTCAAGAGAAAAAAGACTACTGAACGGTTATTTCCACTGCAGAACGTTTTTTTAAAACTCTAGAACGCTTCCGAACGGTTTTGAATGTTTTTTTTAACGTTTTTTTTAACGCTTTTTGAACGTTTTTTTTCCACTCCAGAACGTCCGAAGTGTCAAGAACGGCAAATTCACTCTGGTGTTTTTTTTTTCCGCACCAACCCCCAAAATCGATCTTTTTTGGGTTTGGAGTTAAAAAATTCAGTATTTGGAAGCTCCAGGTATATACTATATTATATTATATATAATTATATCATGTTACGATCGTGTTTAAGGAATTGGGATCATCCATGCTAAGATAAAAACAATGGTCATGGGATTTGAACAGATGTGGAAACTCAACCATTTGTAGACCATTTTATTATGGACACCATGGGTTTCCCACATCTATGTAAACGTTTATCTCAGGGTAGAATGCTATGATAATGTTCATTGGATTTAAACAATCATTATACGATGATATAATGATGTAATGTGGCAAACCCTTTCTAACTGTGCAGGTACAACCCTTTACTACCAGTCATTTTTATGGTTAAACCAATGGGGTTATCATTCCATAAATGGGGTGACTTTCTGACTTGAATAACCGACAAAATTAGCGGAAGACTAAAGTAGCACGGAGTGGACTTGGGATGTTCAAATTTGCGTGAAAACCTTCACAACCGATAGGGGACCACCCACTTTGGCCATGTCCATTGCGAGTAGTAAATAATGTTGTCCGCATTTCACGTAAAACTGGTAAAAGGGCATAGGGCCAGAAGTGTTGGATTTAGACAATTATTTTAAGATGATGCAATGATATAATATGGTAAGCCCAATAATGAAACCATTTGGGGATGATTTCAATGTTAGCATCAAAATGCTGATTTCAGGGATAATTTATTTCTGGTTTTACCACATGTTACCACCATAGGGCTTTGGTGAGTGAAGCAGTTTTAAACTATGGATCCAAACACTTCCTGAGAAGGTACAGTGCAGCTAACCTCCTAAATCATACCCCAACTACTTCGTGAGGTAATTGCATCCGTGGGGGTATTATAGGATTATATAATGATATACTAATTTTAAAATGATATAATGATCACATATGATAACATATAGGATCTAAAAATTGATGTAATATGCTGATATGCTTGTTTGCCTACAAAATGATAGATAATGTAATATCAGTGGGATTTTACCCATGTGTTTTTTATTAGACAAGCAGAGTCTCTCTCGGGATGGTTCAACTGGGTCAATGGAGATGTTTTCGGTCGACTCCATGCAGCCAATGCATCCAATTCCCCCCCTTTCTTTGGGCTTACCCTCTGGTAAAGAACGGTGATTAATGGTGATTAATGATGATTAATGATTGTTAACAACGATGATTGTGATTTATGGTGATTAATGATGATTTCACTTACCCTCTGGTAAACTAACAGTTTGCTATGGAAAAATCCACCATTTTATAGCGTAAATCCGCTATTTCGACTGGGCCATTTTCAATAGCGAACTGTTAAATTATCAGTGGGTATAAATCAACATCAACCCTGAAGGCGCACAGATTTAACCCCGGCACATGCCCTAAACGAACCCCCAAGTGATCAAGTGACTCCAGGTGGATTTGCTTGACAATGCTTGAAAATTGGGATGTAACTTTGTTTTGGGGATGTAATCTCCATGTTTTTCGTTAATTTCCCAGCTAGAAACCTTCATTTTTATTGGATGTCCCAGCTCGCCACGTGGGAAAAAAATCCCCATGGGAAATCCCATTAAAAATCACAATGTTTATTAGTTAATTCATGTTCAGTCCCAATATTTATTTGGTAAATTTCCCAATATGTGCTTTTGTTGGTAAAGAACCCTTGGCTAATCTCCATCTTCCAAGGTGTCCGGTGTCCCCGCGGATCTGCTCAAAAACCGCCCCAGGTGTGGCTGGTGAAAAACCTCCGGACCGGACGAGCCTTTGCCGCCAAGAGCCTTGGCGACGCAGCAAGAATCAAATGGTTGCTGTTTATACATCTTATTAATGGGATTATTTCCTGATATAATTATATAACCTGAGTATACCTTCCAGAAGTTAGTTCATCCCATTTATCTGGGTAAATTATAACGACCTCACTGCGACCTAAGCCTGGAATCATGGTTAGGATTTGGGGAATTATCCCAAAATGGCCCAACAGGTCAGGTTAGTGAAATATGATACTTTACCCACATCTGTCTTATGGCATTGTTGGTAAAACAATGCCACAAAGCATCCCCAAGTAATCACCATTGGGATCTGTCTTTCACATACTCATAAATGCACGCATATGTATAGATGTATGATATTTACAGTTCCTGTTTATCATGCTTGTTGTACTTGTTTATTGACATTTAATATATATATATATATATATACGTATTAATGTATACATATAGCCACATGTCGTCGTGTCTTGCCTCATTTCCCGGCCCATCCATTTAGAGGAGTCGGGTGAATCTGAATAAATGGAGATTTTCTAGGGAAAAGCAAAAACCATTTCATGGTGATTTTCCCCAAAAGGTTGTTAATCTGGTTGGTGGTTTGGAACATGAATTTTATGACTTTCCATATTTTGGGAATGTCATCATCCCCACTGACGAACTCATATTTTTCAGAGGGGTAGGTCAGCCACCAACCAGAAATGGTTTTCTAATAGGGCAAATGAAATAACCTCGGCCATCTATGGCCATCCCGGAATCCCTTTTTTCACATCCATACACTATGGATCCAGCCGTACCTTCTCAGTGTTTGTGTTTGTGAAATCTGGAGACATCTGGAGACTTCGAAGTGTGTGTGTGTGTAATCCTGTAAACTCTGGGAGCCTTCTCATTTACCATCTGGTTATGACTAACATAGCCATGGAAAATCACCATTTTTAATAGGTAAAGCATCTATTTCAATGTGCCATCTATACCATGGCTATGTTAGTCATAACCAGATGGTACACTCAGAAATCCGGAAACTTCCAAATTCCTCGCGCTGTGTTCATCACCACTCGAAAAAAAAAGCGCTGAATCCAGCGATCGTTTTCCTGGCCACACACATGGTGGTGTGTTCATGTTCCACTAGATTGATTATCTATGGTTATAGCAGATATATCTGTACTATTAATGGTAGATATATCTGTACTAATTAGATTGATATATTTATTCATGGTTTTAATAAACATCCACTAATTATCTTTTGGTGGATGTTTATTGATAGTAGATATATCTGTATTATTCTATACCATGGGGTGAACACAAACCAAGCAACATAACCATATATAACCATTGACGTATTAGGGAAAACCAACATATCAACTCATTCTTGTTAAACATGGCTAATAATGATTAATAAAATTTGATGTTAACCTTTATTATTAACCATTGTCTGGTTGGTGGTTTGGAACATTGTTTATTTTTTCATAATATCTGGGATAATCCTTCCCATTAACTTTCATATTTTTCAAGATTGTTGAAACCACCAACCAGATAACCATCAACTTTATTACATTTATTACCCTTATGCTCCATGGTGCTGGAATATTTACCAACATTTGCCCCAAAATTAATCACCCAGTTTTGTAGGTAAATATACCAGCACCATGGAGCATATGGGTTATAGCTGATGTTTTCCCATATTTTCCATATGCTATAACCCATATGGTTAAATTTTCCATATGTTTTTCCATATGCTATAACCCTATTTTCCCATATTTTCTATATAACCCATGGAAAATAGATGGTTGGTTGAACCAACAAACGCAAACGCGCCGCAGCTCCAACAAGGACGTATTGCCTCCCTGGCATCTCGGAACTCAAGTGCCCCTTGGCGAGCTGAGCAGGAGCAACTACTTAACTGGGCACCCCAAACTGATGAAAACCATAGGAAAACCATTGGAAAATGGTGAAAGCCATAGGAAACCATAGGAAAACCATAGGAAAATTGTGAACACCATAGGAAAACCATTGGAAAATGGTGAAAACCATAGGAAACCATAGGAAAACCATAGGAAAATTGTGAAAACCATAGGAAAACCATTGGAAAATGGTGAAAACCATAGGAAACCATAGGAAAACCATAGGAAAATTGTGAAAACCATAGGAAAACCATTGGAAAATGGTGAAAACCATAGGAAAACCATAGGAAAATTGTGAAAACCATAGGAAACCATTGGAAAATGATGAAAACCATAGGAAACCATAGCAGACGCGGTCGGGATGCTCCATCTTCTCCGAGGCGTGTCCGTGAAGTGCCCCCTCCAAGGACACCACCAAGCCGTGAAGTGCCCCCTCCGCCAAGGGCACCACCGCCAAGAGCTGCCAGACTGGAACCGTACGGAGAAGATCGCCGATTACAGTTGGAACGAGAGCTCTACTAGCGCTTTGTTGCATGAAGATCACAGGACTCCGTACTGCTGGAACATTGATGAAGAGATTCTGACATGGATCGCTGATAGCGTCCGGCTGTGGTCCAACAGGGACAGGACACTGTGGCTCTGTGATCCCGATCTGCCGGTGGAAGTTCAACAATCTATGGGTATCAGGGTTGACATCCGCATCCGAAGCCACATCCGGAAGGAAAGTGGATGCGACAGCGGAACTGGATCAAGTCCGCCTTTTATAGGCCTCGGGACACCCATGGAGCAGCTTGGGATCGTTTGCGGAAAGCGGGCTCAGTCAGTGAGAATGTTGAGGTGCCAGTTTCCTGGGCTGACCTGATCACCTTTTCTCACCGTGACGTCCGTCCTCGAGCGTACATGGGGCGCCTTGTGGTGTTGTCGGGTGATCAGGGTTTTGATTTGAGGGCCAAAATAGCTTTCCCAAGACGGAAGCCCAAAAGTGGAGCCGAAACACTCCTAAAATGGAAGCCCAAAAGTGGAGCTGAAACACTCCCAAAATGGAAGCCCAAAAGTGGAGCCGAAACGCTCCCAAAATGGAAGCCCAAAACCATAGGAAAACCATAGGAAAATTGTGAAAACCATAGGAAAACAATTGGAAAATGGTGAAAACCATAGGAAACCATAGGAAAACCATAGGAAAATTGTGAAAACAATAGGAAAACCATTGGAAAATTGTGAAAACCATAGGAAACCATAGGAAAACCATAGGAAAATTGTGAACACCATAGGAAAACCATTGGAAAATTGTGAAAACCATAGGAAACCATAGGAAAACCATAGGAAAATTGTGAACACCATAGGAAAACCATTGGAAAATGGTGAAAATTATAGGAAACCATAGGAAAACCATAGGAAAACCATTGGAAAATGGTGAAAACCATAGGAAACCATAGGAAAACCATAGGAAAATTGTGAAAACCATAGGAAAACGATTGGAAAATGGTGAAAACCATAGGAAACCATAGGAAAACCATAGGAAAATTGCGAAAACCATAGGAAAACCATTGGAAAATGGTGAAAACCATAGGAAACCATAGGAAAACCATAGGAAAATTGTGAAAACCATAGGAAAACGATTGGAAAATGATGAAAACCATAGGAAACCATAGGAAAACCATTGGAAAATGGTGAACACCATAGGAAAACACCATAGGAAACCATAGGAAAACCATAGGAAAATTGTGAAAACCATAGGAAAACCATTGGAAAATTGTGAAAACCATAGGAAACCATAGGAAAACAATTGGAAAATGGTGAACACCATAGGAAAACCATTGGAAAATGGTGAACACCATAGGAAAACCATTGGAAAATGGTGAAAACCATAGGAAAACCATACGAAAATGGTGAACACCATAGGAAAACCATAGGAAAATGTTGAAAACCAAAGGAAAACCATAGGAAATTGAAAATGGGTGATTTAACCAAGACATAGAGATTTCATGGGGTTTATAGCTGCTTTATTATAACTTGGTTGGTGCAAATAACTCCAAATTAGCTATGGTTTGTAATACTCATTGGGTTTATACAGCAACAAACATCACTGGGGGGTCCCACATTGTAGTTTGTTATTCATGTGGGTTTAAGATGCTTTGACCAAGAAACATGCTAATGTCATAGGAGATGACTAGGGGGTTCAAAGTGTATTTGGACCCAGTTTGGAATCGCTAAGTTGGTTGATATGTAGGTTGACTGCTCGGCTCATGGTGGACTTAAGGAACTAGTTAAAGGAATGTATAACTAGTAGAATCAACTATGGTTGGTGGTTTGGAACATTTTTTATGTTTCCATTCAGTTGGGAATAATGATCCCAAATGACGAACTCCATCATTTTTCAGAGGGGTAGGTCAACCACCAACCAGAAGTTATAATTGGCGGTCACCACCTTGTAATATGAAAAAAATCCCATAGAAACTTTGGTTTAAGGTCTACCCAACAGCCTGGTTACTGTGCAGCTTGAATCCCTTACGCTATCCAGGGGCTCATGGCTTGAATATAAATAATTGGGAAAACTCATGCCAAATAGTATGAATCAAAATTTCCAATACTATTTGAATCTATTTGATATCACCATTGTTTGAGATCATTCGAGATCATCAATAGCCTCAAACCATGACGTCAAACAATTACCATCTTTTCGCAAGTCTTGATCTGGTTGGTGGTTTGAAACATGACTTTTATTTTCCATTTCATATATGGGATGTCATCCCAACCCCATTGACGAACTCCATCATTTTTCAACCACCAACCAGAAATTTGTTTTTTTTTATTTATTTTTCCATTCAGTTGGGAATGTCATCATCCCAGCTGACGAACTCATATTTTTCAGAGGGGTTGGTCAACCACCAACCAGTTATAGGTCATTAACCATCATTAACATCATTAACCATCATCATAACCATCATCATTAACCATTATAAACAGTATATTAACCACATATTAACCACATAATAACCACATATTAACCATTATTAAAAGTATATTAACCATCATTAACCACATATTAACCACATATCTGTCCTTTCAAAACAGAAACGTCTCCTTTCGAGGCAAAGAGATTGAAACGGAGGTGGAGATCTTGCTGACCGTGGACCATCCGTAGCGTCCCAAGGACGATGACTTCTTGATGAATGACTTAAGGAAACAATAGAAAGGAACCATATATAATGATATATATATATATGTATATATATATGTATATATATGTATATATATATATGTATATATACATATATATGTATATATGTATATATGTATATGTATATATATATATGTATATATATATATATATGTATTCCCATATGTGTATATATATATATCACATATGCGTATATGTATATATACATATTTGCCTTGTACTGTAAAGCATGGTTTCCTGTACATGTTCTCTGCTAAATGAATCAGTGATATCTACAACGCGACCCCCAAATTAGAGGTACATATATAACCCACCTAACTGAAGATATATCCGCCATACAGCATACTTTGCTGAGTCATAAACCAACTGTGAGGCTCCACATTGTATGATTATTTGTGATATTTTGTGATGTTCTAGTATTTCCAAAGGATGAACACGCAATTACCAGCCATGTTGACGTTCATCAGGGTACAAAGGGATCAAACCACCAGGTGATTGTTTGGTCTTCAACTGCATTGGGGGAATTTCTTGGGTGGTCTACACGGCTCCAGGTTGGGAGGCGGTTGGAAAACTAGTTGGATGACATTAAACATAGACCCCCAATAGATATGGGGTCTGGGATATGTTTTCCTTATTGGATTTGGCAAGTGCTTAAACCATCAGTTGTATTTTTATTCCTTACGTATTTTCACCAGAACTCATACACCTTAAACCTTAACAATGTTGAAAACCCCAACGGTAGTGGCTTCTTGGGGTATTATACTTCCGTTGATGGGTGGTTTATAACGGTTTATATCACTATGGATGATGAAAACTCCCAGTGGCTATCCGGTATCTATCAGATTTGGACCATGGCTTGTGTCATTGATCAATGTGGGTGGTAACTGGAATTGCTGTACCACTAGTTCGACCCATTGGGTCAATCATGGATGCTGCCATACATGATCATACATGGGAAAACTGGACTGATGACAAAAAGGAAGCTGAGGAAAGAATGGAGACGCCCATCCTGCCAGAATCCTGCCAAAAAATGCCCATGCAGCCCAAGCCCAAGCAGTTAGACGGCACCACCAGCAAGAGCGGATCAGGCCTGGTGAAAGATGGTCCGGCGAACCATGGATTCAGCCACCGGAAACACAACCATGGCCCCGAGATTGGCCGACTACTGGCGACAGTATTACAACTTGCCGGTGGGAGCCGGCCAGCAAAGCACCCACCACCGCCCCAAGTACCAAGAGGAAGCTGCCACCGCCACTGAAGGTGGTGGGATCCCCCCCACACCGCTACTGTTCTTGCGCGCCGTATCGAAGGCCATGTTGTCTCACATGCTTCTAGCAAGTCAACATAGCTCTGGAAAATCATGGTATATGCAGTTATGGCCCGAAATACCAGTTATGAGTACTTATTATAGCCCAATTTATAGAATGATATAGAATGTATAATCCCATTGAAATAACCAGTTATAACCAGTTATAACATGTTATAGCTAATAAATGGCCACAGTTTTGTGTGGAAATGGGCCATTGCTTCCAACCAAAATTAAACATCTTCCCATCAGCCTTGGGAAACTGAGGCATTTGGCTCGGATGGTGGATGCCTACGAGTCCAAGGACAACAATTGGGGCTGGGTGAAGCCAGGTTTCTCTTTATTCAGGATAGACTAGGGGAGACTGTATATGGATATAAAAATGACCAAAAAAATATAAAAATGCACAAACAAATTGTATACTTAGTACAAAGGTATAGAATCTACAAACATGTATGATATTGATAAAGGTTTTCAATAAGTTTGTATTGAATTACCCATTGAAATGTAGTAAAACCCGCTGAACAAAAATCCACCATTATTCTTGGTCAAATCATGTTAAGTCCTGATATTTCAACAAAAGTCAGTGGAAAATCCCTTGAACATCGGTGACAGAAATCAAAAGATCCACCATTTCTGGTTTTTCATCGGTCAAAATCCAGTGGTCATCGGAGAATTCCCCATTTTTCGTTGCTTCCCATCCCTTGTCCCTTGATGGAGGACACGCTGACGTTGATCATGGAGCTCTTGGAAGGCGGCGAACTCTTCGACCGGATCATCTCCTTAGGCCGACGGCATAATTCACGGGGGAAAAATGTGGAAACATTGGAGAAATTCCTGGTAGAACATGGACATTGAAATGAAAAAAATGGTAGATAGCTTGGGTTTATCCAATCTAAAAGCGTACAGTAAGTAGGACCCAAAGAATTTCAGAATGACGTTGTTTGAGAGGAGGTGTCATACTTCCCTTAATAAATGCCCCTCATGCCCGGTGTTTGGAGGGACGATTCGCTGGAAATCCACATTTTTTCGTGCCAGACTCTTCCAGATGAATCCACTAGAAGTTCTTTTTAACACACCCAAAATCACAAGGTTTTTCATCACCCAGATGACCCATGAAATATGGGGGGTATCTGGAAGGTACAATGTGAGGCCCCCAAGATAGCTAAGTTGGTTTATAACTCCAATATCTATGGTTTATGGTACTTATAACTATAGTTACTGGGGCTTATAAACCAACTTATAACTTGGGGGCCTCACATTGTATAAATAGGGACATATATACATATCATATAGTGGGAATATGAATGAATATATGAGACAAGCAAAGCAAAACCCCCTAACTTGGAAGATGAGACAATAGTGGTTTCCTTTGAACAAGCCCAAGTCACTTGTACTCAAGAAGGAGCAACCCCTGCTCTGAGAACAGGTCATTTTACGGAGCGAGACGCCGCCGGTAGCATTTGGCAGATGCTCTTGGCCATTCGACGCTTGGAAGATGAAGAAAAATATCCGGCTTGTTGGGGATGCCCCAGGTTGTTCGCCAAGTTGGTTTTCAAATAGGTCAACTGGAGTTCATGGTAGATAATCTCAGAATATCTTATATATATATATAGTATATAGCTAATGAGACAACACCTATTCCTTTTCCTAGAATTAGTTATATACCTGAATTTGAGTCCCAAATGAAGAGATGTATTTCATACCATGGGGCGAGTGAATTGCTCTCTTGAAATCTCAAAATCTGAATGTCAAACTTGAAGAACATAGGAATGAAATCTAGTGTGGAAATTACTCTGGACATGTGATATGATACGAAACATATGTATATATATATACATACACATGTAACATATGTATATACATAAATGGTCTTATATATATATACATATAGAATATAAAAACAAAAGGAGTCAGAAAAAGGGAAATTCAAGGGTACTGTAAGTAGTGGTGAACAAATGGCCACTGATCTTCGAGCTCTTCGGAGACACGGGTCTAGTCACTATTGGGTAGCTGCGAGGTGAAGACATCTGGAACTTTCCATGGAAACCATTGCTTAAACCATAATATGACTGGCTTAATTATGGTTATACTTTACAATCTATGTTTGTATTGTACCATTTATGGTTAACCATAATCATGAATTAAGCCTTGTCATGCCTTGTCCATGTTCATTGGGTTAAACCATCAAAACCAGACTTAACTCAGAGATCGCGTATCTTTCTGGCATCCATTTCCTCCATGTAAGTACCTGAAGAATTTAAGGTTAACATGTTCATTTCTTGCCGGTGCTGTGGGTTCAATCGCAACTTTTCACGGTGTGAAAAATCCACAGAGTCAAACGATTTTCGGTTCCAAATCTGAAATCATCTGGGCCACATCCTTTTTGGGTCACGGTCCATGGACAGTCGGAACTTTTTTCCCATACGACGGTTACCTTGGGACTTTACCCAGGGAATCCAGCCGGGCCATGATATCCTTGCCGGTTACATCCCCATTGCATCGATGACCTCTCCAGTGTTTTTCTACATGCTGGAGCTGTTGTCACCAAATACTCGTAGTAACTTGTGGTTCACCGCAGGAATCAAAAATAGGCGGGGATCACCCCAGTAGTATGCGGATGAGCAGCCTAGTTTACCTACTGAATTTGACTACCCAGTAGCTGGGGTGAACCCCCAGAGTGAATTCCCCGTTATATCACCACTTGTGGTTCCTTCGCGTAAAACTTGCTTGGCATCTTAAGTTATATTATGTTATATTGTATCTCCCAATAATATCCACATAATCCCGAGAAAACCCTGGGGTAAACATGATCTAGACTATGTGGAAGACCCATGGTTTCCCCGGGAACATGATCTACAAATGGCTGGTTTTCGACTTCGGGGAATCATGCTCAATTGGCCGCAAGTTTCAGCCATTGTTTAGCTTAGTGAATCATGAAAAACAGTAACGCAGCCAGATATGTTAAGATGGTCATATTCAATTAAACGATTATCATATCCCCAGGACACACTTCAATAGTGCTCTTAGAAACTTATTATTGCATTTTTTTATGTAAATATAGTAATTATTATGTTATTATTATGTTTACATTATATTATTATTATTCTTATTATTATTATATTATTGTTATTATTATTATTTTCATTATTTATATAGATATATCCTTGTATACCAACAATATTCATTTCCCTTAGTCATTTCATGGTGATTATTATCCATATTAGCCCCATTGAATCACCAAATGTCCCAGGATACCTGCATGGCCTCGGCATCGTGCATCGTGACTTGGGCGGTTGGAATCATACGTGTCCAGCGCTACGTGACCGATTTTCAGTGGGATATCCCAACTCAACTTGCTCTTTATCATGGGAACTATATGGAAAAAATGAGGCACGGCAATATTGAAATTTGCGAAAATCATGGTTTAGCTATTGAACTATTCGGGGATTTTGCACAGCCATGCTGAAGAATACACAATCGGGGTTTTCGCGACAATGAAAATGGTTGTGTCAACTAGCGGGGGATGAAGCACCATTGCACGGCATCTTTTGATTGGGGAAACATTTTTTAAAAGCCGCTATCACGAAGCAACATTAGTTGACAGAAGCAGGTTTTTGTTTCATGTTTTAAACCAGACAAAAACAACTTCTATGCTAGTATGATGGGATATTTCCCATTGAACGAGTCATCCATGAACGTAAAATGGACCTGGACGATTTTCGCAGCTTTCGCAGTCCCGAGAAAGCTCAACGTTGCTGAGAACAAAGATATTTTAGGCTGTCGGTCAGCATTGTACAATACCAAACCTGGTTGGTGGTTTGGAACATGAATTTTATTTTTCCACATATTGGGAATAATCATCCCAACTGACTTTCACATTTTTCAGAGGGGTTCAAACCACCAACCAGAAACAAATGACTGCTGACTTAGAGTCGCAATGACAGCCAATGACAGCCTATTGACCTCTTGCATGATATCTGATATCTGTATACGAGTTTTGGTCCGATGACATAGCATTCACTACTACATGCGGTTCATGTTTTGCACGCTGTTCATAGCCTCCGGCAATCAAACATGGCGATACAAGATTCCCATAGATTCCCCGTTTAGATCGATGATTTGCCCAAGCTATGCCAGCCATGTTTGGTGACACCGAGGGGGCTCTACATCATAAATCATCATATAATATATCGTATTATCAACCATGGCAAACCAGTAAGAGCCATTCAAAGAAAACACATATCCTCATGAATTAATCTGATTACATCATGTTTCATGTTTTCTCATGATTCCATCGCTCTTAGGTGATTTAAAGTTGGAGAACTGGCTCTTTGAAAAGAAAGGAGGCTGCGTTTGAGATGCCCATGGGCCATGCACCCAGCAACCAGCGGGATACTCAAAATGAACATGGTAAACAAAAAAAACAACATGTCCATTGTTTACTGTGTCTATATATATATATACACATATACAAACTATATAGAGTAACTAGTTGGAGTTGGTGCTGAAACAGCTTTTTGTTTTTTTGTTGCATCCCTGTTTCATGTCACCTTTGCCGGTTTGGCACTTGGCACTTGGCGTGACATCCAGTGACTGTGGCAGGAGAAGATTTGAAACTCATCGACTTTGGTCTTTCAAAGTTTTGGGTTCCCAGCAAGAAGATGGAGATGCGAGTTCCTCGCTTCGAGATCGACGGGAAAATTTGAAGACACGACTCATCGGTGGTTGGAAAAAATCCCTAGTTCTGAAATGTTTTGTCTAAAAAATGGATAGTTATTGGCAGATTGGGTGGTTCTTGTTAAAATTGCAATGGTTTATCGGTATATTCATGGGGATTTCACCAGAGGTGACTCCACCAAAATGATAGCTGGTTAACTTAAGTTTCTATTATTTTCTATTAGTTATTATTGTTGCTTGTTTTCATCAACCCTCGACCTGTATTTTTTTCGGGGTCACCTGTCGTGGTTCCATCCTATTTTGTTTCCATGTCAGGGATTGCGAGGGAACCTTGGGGATACCTCCATGGTGCTGGAATATGCACACCAACATGTACCACCGTTCAATGACCCAGGTAGGTTTTTGTTTTTATATTCCAGCACCATGGTTCGCATCTGGGTGTTTTATACCGCAATCGCACTTGAATACGGAAAATGATCATAAACCAATATGTTTGAAGCATGGGATTCAGGGTTCCCGGGCATGACCCCATTCAAAAAGGTTCCAGGGGTGGCACCATTTCCTGGCTTGAGGTAGGAACCCTGGACTATATGGCGCCAGAGGTGTGGAGGGGGCACCAAATAACCCATTGTAATTGTATTTTGTTGCAGGACAAATGATCTACATCTATTTGGTGGCTTTTCCTTGTGCCGTTTTTGGGTGTTCCGGTTGTTTTTTTTGTTTCATCCACAGGTCGCAAGTGACATATTCTGATGGCTTGAAACCACCAGTCGGAGTTGTCTGTTTTTGTTGGAACTGTGGCATCACGAAATTGGGATTTTGGAGGGTCGATTGGCCAGGAATTTGCGGGATTCTGACCGCAATCAATGGGAATCCAATTAGTGTAAAAAAGTATAAGACACATCAGAATTTGATGATGTTTGATGAGTATTTCGTAAGCACGAGAAATTCCAATGCTTGAAATGTTCTATAGCAAGCCCCAAAGTGACAGTGAATCTTCACATCTGGGGGATGACTCTAACGGCTCCACATGTTGAGATCGTTTGAGAGAACTGTCGAGCTGGATCCATGGGGATAAAAACATAGGATCTTCAGTTGTTATTGTTATTTTTCCCGAATGCGTAGCGAAGGGTTCCCGTTTATAGTTGGGGGTCTGGGGGTTGGACCTTTGTTCGCCGCCAGTTGGTCGGCGCGTCGTTTTCGCGTCGTTTTCGCGTCGTTTTCGCGTCGTTTTTCGCATCGTTAATTCGGTGTCTATAGGGGAAGCTGCAAAACCTCGTGTTTTTTGCTACGCAGATGTCGCCGTGTCTATAGGGGAAGCTGCAAAACCTCGCATCTTTTGCTACGTAGATGTCGCAGTGTCTATAGGGGAAGCTGCAAAACCTCGTGTCTTTTGCGACGTAGATGTCGCAGTGTCTATAGGGGAAGCTGCAAAACCTCGTGTTTTTTGCAACGTAGATGTCGCAGTGTCTATAGGGGAAGCTGCAAAACCTCGTGTTTTTTGCAACGTAGATGTCGCAGTGTCTATAAAGGAAGCTGCAAAACCTCGTGTTTTTTGCGACGTAGATGTCGCAGTGTCTATAGGGGAAGCTGCAAAACCTCGTTTTTTGCGACGTAGATGTCGCAGTGTCTATAGGGGAAGCTGCAAAACCTCGTGTTTTTTGCGACGTAGATGTCGCAGTGTCTATAGGGGAAGCTGCAACACCTCGTGTCTTTTGCTGCGTCGATGTTGCAGTGTCTATAGGGGAAGCTGCAAAACCTCGCGTCTTTTGCTACGTGGATGTCGCAGTGTTTATAGGGGAAGCTGCAAAACCTCGTGTCTTTTGCTACGTAGATGTCGCAGTGTCTATAGGGGAAGCTGCAAAACCTCGTGTCTTTTGCGACGCAGATGTCGCAGTGTCTATAGGGGAAGCTGCAAAACCTCGTGTTTTTTGCGACGCAGATGTCGCCGTGTCTATAAAGGAAGCTGCAAAACCTCGTGTTTTTTGCTACGCAGATGTCGCCGTGTCTATAAAGGAAGCTGCAAAACCTCGTGTTTTTTGCTACGTAGATGTCGCAGTCTCTATAAGGGAAGCTGCAAAACCTCGTGTTTTTTGCAACGTAGATGTCGCAGTGTCTATAAGGGAAGCTGCAAAACCTCGTGTTTTTTGCAACGTAGATGTCGCAGTCTCTATAAGGGAAGCTGCAAAACCTCGTGTTTTTTGCTACGCAGATGTCGCCGTGTCTATAAAGGAAGCTGCAAAACCTCGTGTTTTTTGCTACGTAGATGTCGCAGTCTCTATAAGGGAAGCTGCAAAACCTCGTGTTTTTTGCAACGTAGATGTCGCAGTGTCTATAAGGGAAGCTGCAAAACCTCGTGTTTTTTGCTACGTAGATGTCGCAGTGTCTATAAGGGGAAGCTGCAAAACCTCGTGTTTTTTGCAACGTAGATGTCGCAGTGTCTATAAGGGAAGCTGCAAAACCTCGTGTTTTTTGCAACGTAGATGTCGCAGTCTCTATAAGGGAAGCTGCAAAACCTCGTGTTTTTTGCGACGTAGATGTCGCAGTGTCTATAGGGGAAGGTGCAAAACCTCGTGTCTTTTGCTACGTAGATGTCGCAGTGTCTATAGGGGAAGCTGCAAAACCTCGTTTTTTTTGCTACGTAGATGTCGCAGTGTCTATAGGGGAAGCTGCAAAACCTCGCGTCTTTTGCTACGTGGATGTCGCAGTGTCTATAGGGGAAGCTGCAAAACCTCGCGTCTTTTGCTACGTGGATGTCGCAGTGTCTATAGGGGAAGCTGCAAAACCTCGTGTCTTTTGCTCCGTGGATGTCGCAGTGTCTATAGGGGAAGCTGCAAAACCTCGTGTTTTTTGCGACGTAGATGTCGCAGTGTCTATAGGGGAAGCTGCAAAACCTCGTGTTTTTCGCGTCGTTAATTCGGTGTCTATAGGGGAAGCTGCAAAACCTCGCGTCTTTTGCTACGTGGATGTCGCCGTGTCTATAGGGGAAGCTGCAAAACCTCGTGTTTTTTGCTACGTAGATGTCGCAGTGTCTATAGGGGAAGCTGCAAAACATCGTGTCTTTTGCTGCGTCGATGTCGCAGTGTCTATAGGGGAAGCTGCAAAACCTCGCGTCTTTTGCTACGTGGATGTCGCAGTGTCTATAGGGGAAGCTGCAACACCTCGTGTCTTTTGCTGCGTCGATGTTGCAGTGTCTATAGGGGAAGCTGCAAAACCTCGCGTCTTTTGCTACGTGGATGTCGCAGTGTTTATAGGGGAAGCTGCAAAACCTCGCGTCTTTTGCTACGTAGATGTCGCAGTGTCTATAGGGGAAGCTGCAAAACCTCGTTTTTTTTGCTACGTAGATGTCGCAGTCTCTATAGGGGAAGCTGCAAAACCTCGTGTTTTTTGCTACGTGGATGTAGCAGTGTCTATAGGGGAAGCTGCAACACCTCGTGTTTTTTGCTACGTGGATGTCGCAGTGTCTATAGGAGAAGCTGCAAAACCTCATGCTTTTTGCTACGTGGACGTCGCAGTGTCATAGGGGAAGCTTTGTAGTACAAAGTAGTACTGGGAAGTGCTTTGTGCGAGCTTTGTATAGTACACAGTAGTATTGGGAAGTGCTTTGTGCAAGCTTTGTAGTACACAGTAGTACTGGGAAGTGCTTTGTGCAAGCTTTGTAGTACTGGGAACGACTTTGTGCAAGCTTTGTAGTACAAAGTAGTACTGCGAACGACTTTGTGCAAGCTTTGTAGTACACAGTAGTACTGGAACGTGTTTGTGCAAGTTTTGTAGTACGCAGTAGTACTGGGAAGTAGTTTGTGCGAGCTTTGTAGTACACAGTAGTATTGGGAAGTGCTTTGTGCAAGCTGTGTAGTACACAGTAGTACTGGGAAGTGCTTTGTGCAAGCTGTGTAGTACAAAGTAGTACTGGGAAGTAGTTTGTGCAAGCTTTGTAGTACACAGTAGTACTGGGAGCGACTTTGCAAGCCTTGTAGTACAAAGTAGTACTGGGAATTGCTTTGTGCAAGCTTTGTAGTACACAGTAGTACTGGGAACGGTTTCGTGCAAGCTTTGTAGTACAAAGTGGTACTGGGAAGTGCTTTGTGCAAGCTTTGTAGTACACAGTAGTACTGGAAGTGCTTTGTGCAAGTTTTGTAGTACACAGTAATACTGGGAAGTAGTTTGTGCGAGCTTTGTAGTACACAGTAGTACTGGAACGACTTTGTGCAAGCTTCGTAGTACAAAGTAGTACTGGGAAGTGCTTTGTGCAAGCTTTGTAGTACACAGTAGTACTGGGAAGTGCTTTGTGCAAGCTTTGTAGTACAAAGTAGTACTGCGAAGTGCTTTGTGCAAGCTTTGTAGTACAAAGTAGTACTGGGAAGTGTTTTGTGCAAGCTTTGTAGTACAAAGTAGTACTGGAACGTGTTTTGTGCAAGCTTTGTAGTACACGGTAGTATACTGGGAAGTAGTTTGTGCAAGCTCTGTAGTACAAAGTAGTACTGGCAAGGGCTTTGTGCAAGCTTTGTAGTACAAAGTAGTACTGGGAAGTGTTTTGTGCAAGCTTTGTAGTACACGGTAGTACTGGGAAGTAGTTTGTGCAAGCTTTGTAGTACAAAGTAGTACTGGGAAGTGCTTTGTGCAAGCTTTGTAGTACAAAGTAGTACTGGGAAGTGTTTTGTGCAAGCTTTGTAGTACAAAGTAGTACTGGGAAGTGCTTTGTGTTTTGTGCAAGCTTTGTAGTACAAAGTAGTACTGGGAAGTAGTTTGTGCAAGCTTTGTAGTACAAAGTAGTACTTTGTGCAGAAGGTAGTACTGTGGAAGCTTTGTAGTACAAAGTAGTTTTGTGCAAGTAGTGCTGCAGTACAAGAGTACTTACAGTACAAGTAGTTTGTAGTACAAAGGGAAGTGTTTGTAGCTTTTGTAGTAGTACAAAGTAGTACTGGGAACAAGCTTTGTAGTACACAGTAGTACTGGGAAGTAGCAAGCTTTGTAGTACAAGTGCTTTGTGCAAGCTTTGTAGTACATTACTGGGAAGTGGTGCAAGCTTTGTAGTACAAAGTGGTACTGGGAAGTAGTTGTGTGTTACGTGCAGTAGTACGAGCTGTAGTTTGTGCGAGCTTTGTACACAGTAGTATTGAGAAGTGCTTTGTGCAAGCTGTGTAGTACACAGTAGTACTGGGAAGTGCTTTGTGCAAGCTGTTAGTACAAAGTAGTACTGGGAAGTAGTTTGGTGCAAGCTTTGTAGTACACAGTAGACTGGGAAGTGCTTTGTGCAAGCTTTGTAGTACACAGTAGTACTGGAACGTGCTTGCGCATGTGTAGTACACAGTAGTACTGGGAAGTGCTTTGTGCAAGTTTTGTAGTACACAGTAGTAGCTGGGAGTAGTTTGTGCGAGCTTCGTAGTACACAGTAGTACTGGGAACGTGTTTGTGCGAGCTTTCTAGTACACAGTAGTACTGGAACGTGTTTGTGCAAGTTTTGTAGTACACAGTAGTACTGGGAAGTAGTTTGTGCGAGCTTTGTAGTAACGTACACAGTAGTACTGGGAACGACTTTGTGCAAGCTTTGTAGTACAAAGTAGTACTGCGAACGACTTTGTGCAAGCTTTGTAGTACACAG